TACATCTTGCAGAAATACTGTGTAGTATGACTTAAAATACGTAAAAAAGTTATTGTGTCCATGTATAAAAAAATAAAGGGAAGATAAAGGAAAGGTAAAAAAGGAAAACCAGCCAGAGTCTTTGACTTTAGGATTATCTATGACTGATCAGTTTTACGAAGGAGTTCAAATGGGGATTAAAGATCTGGACATTGATTTCTGTAAAACAAGCCATCTCTGTCTATTTTCTAGAGGTATGAATACAGCATTTTGTAAATCAGTCACTTAGAGAAAAGTTTGACATATTTAATGAACCTAATCTATCAAAAAATAAATAAGTGCTGCATTCAAGAAACATTAAGCTGGGCAAGGTAGTCTAAAATATATGACATTCATCTTGATAGAATGCAAATTGAATTTGAAAATAACAAATGAAAAGTAAATAATTTGATGACAGTTATTATATAGCATATAACATTCTTCCTACTAAATTTCAATGACAATTTGCTTTTACCTAGTTACAATTTTTTTTGAGAGGTTTTTTGCTATAGGGCACGTGTGCTCACCAGAAAGACAGAGAAAGACGGAGAGACAGAAAGCGAGAAATCACCCTCCAGGGGGATGGCCATGCCACAATCCCTTCTCCTCCATTCTCGTCTCAGGATCTCGGGCACTCACGCACACGCGCCCGGTGTGAGTTTAAGCCACCTGGTCCGGGACTTGAACCACAGTTGACTACGTGGGAGTACAGTGACATGGCCATTATGCTAACTGCTGGTCCCAAGAATAGGTATTCTTGAACACTGTGTTTCAAAAGTTCTTCTCGGGATGACTCTGTGGCCTGGTGGCTAAAGCAGCTACTTCACACATGGCAGACCATGTGCTTCAAGTCCCAGACCTGGTGACTTAAAAATCATGTCAGGCATGTGTGAATGAATGCCTATATTCTGAAGGGAAGGAGGATGGAGATGGAAGAGAAAAGATTGCAATGTGACCATTTCTCATGGAAGATGTTTTCTCTTTCCTGCTCTCTGTCTCTCTGACTGGCTGAATGCACATGCCCTCTAGAAAAATAAAAAGTACTTTTTGATTCTCTAAATAATTATAGCCAATAGGTCATTAGTAGGTCATTAACGATATTTTCTACATACATAGTAGCATGCCTATTTTGAACTCTTTTTTCTTTTTCCTTTTTTTTTCTTTTTTGGAGAGGTTTTTGCTATAGGGCGCGTGTGCTCACCAGAAAGACAGAGAGAGACATAGAGACAGAAAGTGAGAAATCACCCTCTAAGAGGGATGGCCATGCCACAATCCCTTCTCCTCCATTCTCCTCTTGGGATCTTGGACATATACACACAAGCACCCTGCATGAATTTAAGCCACCTGGTCCGGGACTCGAACCGTGGTTGACTACACGGGAGTCCAGTGACATAGTCATTATACCAACTGCTGGACCCCCAGTTTGAATTCTTGAAAGATAGGACAGTATGCTACAAAGCTTGCAAAGGATGGTAAGACAGTCATTAATGAAGTAGATTGATTTAGCACATTTCAAAACATTAAGGGCATATTTTTAAAAATTATTTTATTTAAGTTTTATTTATTTACTTATTTTTTAATTTGACCAGAGAGAGACAGAGAGAGAGAAAGAGAGAATGCAAAAGTAAGCCGCCAGGTCTGGGACTCGAACTGTTGCTGGCCATGTGGGAGTCCAGCCTCTCCACCTACCATGCCACTTTTGGCCCCAGGGCATAATTTCTATATAGTGTTCTTTTTTATTATTATTTATTTAGTCCATGAGAGAGAGAGAGAGAAAGAGAGAGAGAAAGAAAGAGAGAGAATGAGAGAAAGCATGCATCTCCAACAGCGCCTTAATGCTGCAATCAACCCTCAGAATTAGTCAGTCCCAAGTAAGAGGCATGTATGCACCCAGTGTACTCAAGGAAGTATCTGGACTTGAACTGGGAGCTTCCTATGTGGGATTACCTCACAGAGTGTCATGCTTCACTGCTGTGCTAATAATATTCAGCCCCTATATAGTCCAACACCATTTACAAATATGGTTATTGAGTTTATATGATGTAGTAGTCACTGAGAGGTATACTGCCAAGAGGTTTAAATTAGTTCTTCTTCAAAGATGCATGCTTACTTTAGCTAGGGGACAAGACATGAAAGGACAGAGGACAGAATGTAGAATGTACCAATAGATGATAGAGATAAAACCATGAGCCAAAGTGCTCAGGAAGAAATAGAATTAGGGAGGATCCTAGAGGGTATTTCAGGAAACCTTCTACTCCCCTCCACCCAGGTTCAATCGATCTCCTATTTTACAGATGTGGCAGCCCAACTCAAGTCAACCTCTGTGACATGCCTAGGCCAAAAGCTTAGCTAGTAGGAAAGATGTCGTGCAAACCAGGGCGATCTCTTCTACTGAATACTACTACACCATGGCTCATTTCCATGACCCATTTACCAGAGGAGGAGGAGAAGCCAAATCAACAACAATTAAGGAGTTGTAAACCATAGTCTCAGGTTGGAGAAAACTAACACATTCACAGGATCCCTCTTTAAGAAAAACCGCACAAAATCACAACTACAAAATGAAGGTCCTATTCAAGCGAAAGTCTTGCAACATAAGCTAAGTTCATTTAATGAAAACCCTGCCATTTTTCTTTATCATAATTTACTTCCCATTATGCTAATTAAACTAACCACCCTCATTTCTGTAACTTACCCATGTTATTTACTGAAAAAAAAAAAATCTTCATCTTGCCTTGTTGTGAAAGCTTTACCCAACCTTCCAAGCACTAGAAACACCTACCCAAATATAGAGAATTTTTGAAGAAAATTAAGAAGGCAGCAATTAAATTAAGAAGGCAGCAATTAAATTCTGGCAAAAAAAAATTATCAATGTAAGTTCTGTAATAACTGGTGAACGAGGAGAAAGTTCAAATTTGGAACTTTCATTTTTAAGCCACTTTTCATATTATTTCCTTCAAACTATTACATATGGATTGCAATTTACAAAGTGAAAACACGCTTAGAAAAAAATAGTGTCTCCTCTTAATTTCCACATGAAGAGATGACAGGTACATAGAATAGTGGGAAGCCAAAACTAGTTCTTCCCTAGTAAGTAAAATTTCTTCCATTTTATACTCTCTTTTATACAGCTTTATTAAGCAAACCTGGGGCCTTATATGAATTGCTCTTGCACCACTTCACATAAAAATGCTCAGGAGGAAAAAAATCCAGTTGTCAGATGGATGGAGGCATTTTTTTTTAAATTTTTTATTATCATCATAATCTTCTTTATATTACATTGGATTACATATAACTTTACAGTATATTACATTGCTTTTTCAAAAGGGAATGCCATGCAAGTCAGTCAGTACAAAGACATTAATCTCCCCGCTTCAACATTCGATATCTTTTCTATGTTTTCCCCAATCATTATTATTATTATTATAATTATCTTTTAAAACAATCGCTATTTCTCATTTTGCTTGTAAAAATACTTTGCCCATCATGAAATACTTCTCAGACCAATCCAGTTGAGAATACTATACATGTCATCATCAACAGGTAATAAGCCATCTCTGTTTCTCACTAACGTCCTGCCTCTCTGTTGTTCACTTGCTATCTTTCTCTATCCTCTTCTCTTCACCTCCCCCATTCCACACTGTCCTATTCTCATTAAGTACCTTCACTGAGGCATTTCGAGCATTGGAACCTTGCTCTAAGGAACAGTGAGTCATGTCAAATGTAATGTGCAAAGGAAGCTGATACATAAAAGGACTGAACAACAATGATGACTCCCAGAGACATGCTGTGGGACAAAGGACAATTACAGAGGCTCTATTTTTGGGTTCAGGAG